AACTTGCCGTGATGCCTGTATTATTTAGTCTGACTCCAAACAGCTTCTTTCTCTAACCTGGAGCTCTTTATTTTTTAGTTATGGACTAGTTCTCATAGTCACCAAGATTGTATTATTTACTCTACCCCCCACCAATTTTGAAATGAATAGTTTTTATAAATATTTTATTTTTTATTAGTATCTCCCCATCCTCTTTCTGGATAGTTCACCCACGTACTTGACTTAGTACCATTTCAGATCCACTCCCAGATCTTTAGTTTGCTTACTTTTTCTGGAAATTGTCTTCGTAGGTTCCATGACTTGTTTTGGTGATGGCACATTGAAAACCTTGACATCAGTATTAGCTCGTTTTAAACACTTAACTGACTGTGCACTCTATCGATTATCTTGATCTTATTTCTGAGAGGATAATCTTTGCTTCCTCCCTCAAAATATGGTGCATTATTGCTTTTTATTTTTTCTGTATTTTATTTCTCTGGGAGGAACATTGCTTTTCTTTTATCTCACAAATTACAACTGATGACGGCTGAAGAATGGGTCGGCAGAAATAACAAAAATATACAAAGCTTGAGTGCGTGAATGATGTTTGCTATTGTCTGTATCTCAAATTCTGTTTTTATATATTTGTGTCATAAATTGTATAAAGGATTCTGATTAAAAGAAATTTCACCTTATTACAAATATGATCTACAACTATAATACATACATACATACATATATATATATTTAAGACATTTTTATGTTTATACATTCTTTTTATAGATACAAATATTTAAGTAAATGCTCTGTTTATAATAAACAGTATTAATAACATTTATCGACCTGAATGTCCGAGAAATTTCATAGAAAATATGTGTCCTCCGACAGGAATCGAACCTGTATACTAGGCGGAACCGTCATATAGCCTGACGTGCCTTTACCGATTGAGCAGATATGAATGTACGTGAGAGATTCATGGAAGATTGAAGTTTAAAAGCAGTAAAATCGACCTTGCTAATCGAACTATCCTCTGTGGCTCAATTAAAATAATTGTCGGACTTATATATATATATATATATATATATATATATATATATATATATATATATATATATATATATGAGTTAATGATCAAATGCAGATCAAATATGAATCGACATCCAATAGGATAAGATAAAGAACTAAAAGGGAAATGTATATCAATTTAACATATTTCACTTTTTTAAAGCTTCGTCAGAGAGAAAAACAGACAAATGTCTTTTTGTTTTTCTCAATATCTGATGTAGCTTTAAAAAAAGTGAAACATGTTAAATTGATATACGTTTCCTATTTCTTCTTATCATATCACACACACACACATATATATATATATATATATATATATATATATATATATATATATAGAACATTAAAGCCAACACTCAGATGCGACAGACTGTTTCATGCGAGACGCAATCAGGCCTGACGATTGCGTCTAGCATGAAACAGTCTGTTGCCTCTGAGTGTTGACTTCAATGTTCACTTTTATATTTACATAAGCTCTCTCATATTGAGCACTTTATCCCATAAATATAGCACACCTTAAAACTAATATATATATATAGGTTAGTTAATAAAACTAGAACAAACAAAAAAGGTACCAATATAATCAGTATAAAAAACGTTTATGAAATATTAATTATTAACCATTTGACAGAAATGAAGCACAGAGTGAAAGGTTTTAAGTCCGGAATTTCCGAACACGCATATGGTTTAAAGATTTTTGGAATTCCTACTACTGTGCGCATAGGCTGGGCGATTCTTCTATGTGCCGTGTCTCTTCAGGACGTGGACGATCATGGCTCTCCACAATTTCTTTTCCTTTATAGCTCTTAGTAAATTTTGTCTTTTCGTTTTCTCTCCTAATCTCTGTTTTGCCAACCATTTACACAAGCTTATTGGGCAGGGGTTATTCATTGCTTTCCTCTGCCCCTCTTGGCTTCCTGTGAGTGTCACATTTTCTAAGCCCTCTTTCCTCATTATGTACCTTAGAAATTTCAACTATTATACGTGTTTTCATTTTCTCTAAAAATGTCTTCCCATGTGCTTATTAAATTTTGCCTTTCTACTGTCTCTCTTAGTCCTTATTCTGCCAACCATTTACCCATTTAGCTCATTCGGTAGATTATACATTGTTTTCCTCTGTCGGTCTTACCTTCAATCTGCCCTGTGAGTATCAGATTTTCCAAACCATCTTGCCTCATTATATATCCTAGAAATTTCAACTCTTTCTGATTCTAAATATAAGCGTCCTTTTTATTCCATTTTCTCTAAAACTTCATCCTTGCTCACGTATTCTGTCCATGGTTTGGTTTGGTTTACGGCATGTCAACCTCAATGGGTTATTGAATGCCGACAAAATTTTGATTGTTGGTGATATCTTTTTTCAAAAATCTATTTCTGTTAATAATTTTTCTTCAAATATGTATCGCTGGTAATATTTTTTTTTTCAAAAATGTATTGCTGGTAATATTTTTTTACAAAGTATTTCGGGTATTAAAACCAATGTTTTACACTTTCATAGTGTTTTTGACTCCAGTTTAGTTGTTAACTATTTGCCCATAGCTGGGACCCTAACAGGTGCTACAACCCCGAGTCAGAGTTGACCCAGGAACACTAGCAATTAAGAGGAGGTTCCTCGTTCCTCAAAACCTCTTGATCAGAGGCCTTGCTGTTGGACGTAGTTTATCGTCTCACCCAGGACGCGGATGTAGTTTATCATCATACCCAGGACGACCTGTCCATGGTATTCTCAACATCCTTCTGTAGAACCATATTTCTCTTGCCTTGAGTATCTTCCTAATCTGTGATAAGATTGTCCAGTATTCACTGCCATATAAGAAGACCGATATTACATAAAATTTCAGCACTCTTTTCATTGTTTCTAATTAAATTTTTCTTGTTTCTTAATACTTTGCTTTGCTTTTGGGAAGCATATTTCTCTATCTCAATGAGGTGGATTTTCTTGGCGGTGAGTTTTCGTTTCATTTCCACCCCCCGTGTATTCTGAAATTCTTTTGCACAATAGGAAGTGAATTTATTTTGCTTAATTCCTCTAAGAAGCCTTTTTAACAGCACCTGCAGCCATCTTGCCTCACTGCTTATCGAATACTTACTGACAATAGAAAGCCGGTTTCAAGCCGTGTTGCTGCTGAGTCAAACTTAAAATGTTTTTATTTTTCTTTAACATAGTGTTTTATAACTCTGTCTCGTGTCATTGTCTTGAGTTGGCTTCGGCTAATCCATTGCGATTAAAGTCGATGTGAATCTACTTGAGAAAGACTTGTTTGGTTTGATGAACCAGAAAAAGCCACACAGAAATGAGCGGGAATGTAAACTTGGAAATTCCCACCGATTGCTCGCTTTGTTTTTATCCCACATTTGTAAGCTGTTCATCATTTTTATCTTTTAACAGAAATTATGAGAATTTGCTCCAAATCTATGAGACGACTATTTCTTTGATGTTAATTTAGTTGCTTTGCTATTACGCAAACTCTCTCTCTCTCTCTCTCTTTCTCTCTCTCTCTCTCTCTCTCTTTCTCTCTCATAAAAAAAAAATCAATGTTGGATTTCCACGACTTTTAATACAATTTGATTACTCATGGTAGAGAGAATACCTTCTAGACGATTCCCGGAGACAGACATTGTTTTAACAATAAAATGAAGCATCCTGGGTATGACGATAAACTACATCTTGCAGCAAGGCCCTCTGATCAGGAAGTTTTGAGGAGCATGGAACCACCTCTTAATTCCTGTTGTTCTCAGGTCTACACTGACCCGGGGTGGTATCAACTATTATGGTCCCAGCTATAGGCAAATAGTTAACTCCTATTAAACACGATAAAAGTATAAAAAAAAAAAAAACGTATGGTATAAAAAGTTACCAGCAATACATTTTTGTAAGAGAAATTACTAATACTCCCAAGAAAACTGACCCATAAGAAGTTGATGTGCCGCTAAGCAAACTAGAAATATTAATAAAACGATGTCGGAGAAATCTTCAGAATATGTTTCTGGTTAGAATAACGAAGCGGAGAAATGTTTTGGAACTTAACAAAAGCAAAAGGTATTGTAAGTCCTCTTAATCGATTAGCTTTTCAATCAACCCTTATGGAAGAGGATCTTTGATAAATTGGGAGATTAAACAATAAAACTATATTATCTGTCTATATCTCTGAGATGAGTTATTATGATTACTTGCATTATTTACATTATTCGAACTATTATCCACATCTTCATTGCTATATTCACAACGTTTTGGCCGTTGTACGCTCTGGCCTTCTTTAGGTGTTTGGAATTTCGAACCGAACCCTTTATTTCGTCCACAAGGGCATATTGTTCTAGTTTCACGTGCCATGCCTCTTCTGGATGTCTCAGTTACTTCCGTTTAACTCAACTCTTCAAGTTTTGGTTCACCACTGCTGTGGCCTGGTATTGAACTCACAACTCTTTGGGTCTCGTCACTGGATCTAACCAATGTCTTTATCTACTGGGCCATCCATCAAATCAATATTAATAACTTCGTTGTGTAAGTTTTTTTCCTATGCAACTCTAAGTTTTTTCATGACGGAAATATATATTGATATATTTTAAAATTTCCAAGATGGTTGTCAGGCGTCGTAAGAAACAATAACCTTAACTTCAAAAGAGAAGATATTGTAACGTTATTGAGTGGTGGAAATTGTTCAATTTTCTTTTTGTAATTCCTCTAAAAGATAGAATGAAAGAGCTTGTTTGGCTTGAATGTTGCGAAGAGAGATTTAAGAAGAAACGTTGATAAGCAGGAAAGTGGAGAGCTCAGTCGAGGAAAAAAAAAACTTGAAGAAAAGCTCTTTGCATTCGGCATTTTATTTGTTTTATAAAAACTAAGAAGAGATGAAGACATGACAGTAAACAAACTACGACCTTTTAAGCAAATGTCACTAAAGAAATGTGTAATTGTGTCGAAGAAGTTAATTAAAATGTATTCCCCAACAATAGGCTTACGGCCATATCACGTTGAAATGGTTCTCATACGATCACCGACGTTAAGCATCGTCGAGCCTGGTCAGTATCTAGATGGGTGACCGCTTCAGAATACCAAGTGCCGTAAGCTTGGATGTGCGGGTGGTGTAATTGATAACGGAATTAGAAATCGGGGAGAGCCGAGTTCCAATTCCAGTTGGGTTTGTTATATTCACACAAATATCCTCGAGGAAGAGTATGAATCCACCCTGTCTTCTCTCAGTTATGGATTAATTGGTACGATTTGTCAGTAAACTACCATCTAAAAATCATTTTACAATCTAAAAACATTTTCTGGCTTTAAATAATCTACAGAAGGTTGATAAGTCGTAAAAAACAAATCGTTCCTCAACAATAATTTTTAGTGATGAATTTAGAGTTACATTGGATGAACCTGAGTGCTGGTCTAGAATTTGTTTCCTTTATGAAACTAATCAATCAACATGACTTACAAGACAACAGGTGGGCAAGCATTTTCGGTTAGAATTGTAGGCAGTGAAATTATAAATCCATTCAAATGTGATGTCAAGATAAAGGGTACGACTTATATAAGTTCCTGTAAGACTTTTTCGTGCCAAAGAATATTTAGGCTAAAGAATGTATAGTCGCAAAACGTGGTTACTTTACATTCTTCAGCACTGACTATTGTCCAAATGACCAAAAAAGGTATCAAAGAAACTAAGTTATTGGCATCCTCTCCACCATCTGTAGATGTCAATCCTATAGAAAACTTAATTAAAAAATATCACTTATATGAGAATAAAAATTCGTACTCATACGAAGATATCTGGAAAACAATAAAACTGCTACAAGTTAAAGTTGAAACTAGAAGAATTAATGAACTCAATGGTAAGATTGAAGATTATAGAAGGTGAATAAGTTTATAATAACATTTAAAATAATAATATTATTATTTATTTACTATTCGGATTGAATATTAGTTCAAACGTTTAGCTTGCTTGGGAAAGATATTAGAATAATCCAGAATCCTGTATATGGACAGAAAACGAATTCAATAAATACACAAAAATGGAAAAGGGGCGTAAGACAAAGATGCGTCTTCTCGTCGGAATTTTCAACATCGGCAGTGAGACAATCCAAAGAGCACTAGATGTCCTACCAGGATTTATTATTGGTGGACACAGTTTCAACAACATAAGAGATGACACAGTGCTGGTAGCAGACAAAGAAAACTGCAGAATCTCCTACAGAAGGTAGTAAAGGAAAGCGAGAAGAAAGGACTAAGCACAAATTGTAAGAAAATTTAATATCTGGGGGTTGTCAGCAAGAGGAACAACCCAAGAATCAAACAAGTATGAAAATTTAAATATTTGAAATGTGTTTTAACAAAGGACAGAAAAGTGGCACCGAAATCCAAAGGTGTATTGGAATAACGTAAAATGCCTTCCAGAAGCTAAGCAAAATATTAAGTCTCGGGAAAATTTCGTTAGAAACAAGAATGCTGAACTGTTGCGCAATATTAATTTTCATCTAAGGCAGTGAAAGCTTGGACGATCTTCTGACAGATGAAGGGACTTGAGGTAGTAGAAATGTGGTTCTACAGAAGGCTGGTGAGAATACTATGGATTGAAAATATAAGTTTTAAGAACAATGGAAAGAAAAAAGACGCTTATACTTAGAATTAGAAAGAAAGTATAAATATATAGGAAGCGTAATGAAGGAAGGGCGTTTGGGGAATTTGACACCCACAAGGCAGATTGAAAGCAAGATGGGCAATAGCGAATAACCTACCTAGCGAGCTTGTGTAAGAACAGGAAATTGAATAAATAAGACAAGTTTTAGTAAGATCTACAAAGGATAGGAAGTTGTAGAGAGCCACGATCGCCTACGTCCTGTGCGAATACGGCACATAGAAGTCAGTTATTCAGATATTTGGCATATTCCGCTTATCAAAGTTGTTGACTTGCCTGTATTTTTTTTATTTAGAAACAAACCAAGTGCCACCTGCATTTTTTGTGTGTATGTTTTGCATAAAACGGAAACAAAAAGGACACATACTTAACATCAGGAAGAGACAGTTGAAATTTCTACGGCACATAATGAGGAAAGAGTGTTTGGAAAACTTGATACTCAAATGACAGATTGGAGCCAAGTGGGACTTTTCTGTGGAATCACAATGCATAACCCCTGCCTAGCGAGCTTGAACAAATGGATTGTGGAACAAGGTTTTAGAAAGCAGAAAGACATTTTTTAAGTACAAAGGACAAGAAACCGCAGAGTGCCGCGATTGCCAACGTCCTGAAGGGTCATGGCACATAGAAAAACACGTGCTTGTGTAAATGGTTGACAGAACCGGGAATAGGAGAGATAGTGAAAAGAAAATTTACTGAACCCATGAACAGACATTTTTAGCGAAAATTGAAGCGCTTATTATAGTTGAAATTTCTAGGGTACATAATGAGGAAAGAGGGCTTAGAAAATGTGACACCCATAGGACATATTGAAAACAAGAGGGACAGAGGAAAGCAGTGAATAGCAACTGCCTAACGACCTTATTATAATTAATTAGAAGAGATAGTGAAAAGACAAAATTTAATAAGCGCTACAAAGGGTAGGAAATTGTGGAGAGCCATGATCACCCACATCCTGAAGGGACATAGTACAGAAGAAGAATAATTTCGAACCGAACCCTTTATTTAGTCCACGGGGGTAGAGTGTTCTAGTTCCACGTGCCATGCCTTTTCTGGATATCCCGGTTTCAGTTAATTCCCTTATTTTGTTAGACCCCCCCACACACACACACACACACACATACACAGAGAAACACATACCAGAGCAATAATTTCAGTGGAAATTGATATATTTTTTGTCATTTCCCCCGAGAAAAAAATTTAATCTCCTTGCTTTTTAAGTTTCTTTATGTACCGTGTCTCTTCAGTGTGTAGGTGATCATGGCTCTCCACATTTTCCAATTCTTCATAGCTCTTAATAAATTTGATATTTTTGTTATTTCTCCTAAACCTTGTTCGGCCATCCATTTACTCAAACTCTCTAGGTGGGTTAGGCGTTGTTTTCCTCTGTCCCTCTTGCCTTCAATCTGTCTTGTGAGTATCAGATTTTCCGAGCACTCTTCCCTCATTATGTCTTAGAAATTTTAACTGTTTCTTCCTGATGTTAAGTATAAGTTTCCTTTGTTTCCATTTTATCTAATACTTCATCGTTGCTCAGAGATTCTGTTCATGGTATCCTCAGCATCCTTCTGTAGAACAACATTTCTGTTGCTTTAAATCTCTTCTTCATCTTTGTCCAGCATTCACAGCCATATAAGAGGATAGATATGACGTAAGAGTTCAATACTCTTTTCTATTTTCTTAATACTTTGCTTAGCTTTTAGAAGGGATCTTTCGCAATCCTAATGCATCTTCGGATTTCGGTGTCGCACTTTCCGACCTCTGTTAAAACATTTCCCAGATATTTAAATTGTTGTACTTTTTACAGCCATTTATAATTGTACACCAGATCATATTTTATGCCGAAAATGATTTCACAATAAAATTGGTATTCGACCGTAGTCGAGATCACCGACTTAATACGAACGATCCTTTCCTTAGCTGCATCGTATGTATTTCGTCAGGGTTGCATCCAAATTGATATTAGCAAAGGGATATTGATGCGTTTTCTGACAGGTTTAAATTTATATAGGCAACATATCATTGTAAGTTTCAACTCATCTTCACTCTTAGTAAAGATAAGGATAATTTGTTCTTCTTTTTGGAAGTTTTTTGGTGGAGCGATGAAGAATAGGAAAATGTGGAGAGTCATGATCGTCCTTGCCCTAAAGGGACACGGGATTTTTTCCATCTCGTTTAAAAAAAAAATCCCAGTATTTTTGGTATTATTCGTTTGTCACTGTCATGAAACGGAAACCTTATCCCTTATCTCGAGGGAAATGACAAAAAAATATATAAATTCCCACCGAAATTATTGCTCTGGTTCAAGTGTTCGTGTGTGTGTGGCGGGTGCTAACAAAATAAGGGACTTAACTGAAACTGAGATATCTAGAAAAGGCATGAAACTAGAACAATCTGCCCTCGTGGACTAAATAAAGGGTTCGGTTCGTAATTCCAATGTATATCACCTGAAGAAGGTAGCCGCTTGCAACAGCCGAAACGTCGTGAATATTACAATAAAAATGAGGACAACTATGTAAATAGTTACAATAACTCATCGTAAAAATATAGACAGTTGCTGAAGGAGTTACTATGGCAATAAAGTTTAGGATAACATTCCGATCAATGTAAATAGTTACAATACTTCATCTTAGAAATATTGACAGAAACTCGAGATAATGCTTGCAATTTTGTCTCTTGAAAATTCGTGTTATATTTTGCTGGAAAAAAATCGTTAGATAAATATAAGCATGAAATTGATTTCTTATAATAGGATTTAGCATGACAGTACAAAATTTCCATTCGGCTAGTAATCCAAACTGCTATTAACTATGTCATTATATGTCCGCGCCTAAAAGACTATGTATAATGACCAATGCAGTGTCAAATCAGAGAAAAGCCAATTAGTCTTAGATAAAATATTTGAAGAATTTATTTCGGGCCCCTCTAAAGTGCTCCATATCGATGCCAATTTAAAGAGATTGATTCGTTTTATCAACCCATTGCAGGTTATTTAAAGCCAGAAAATATTTTTAGATTGTAATTTTTTTTTTTTTTTTTTTTTTTTTTTTTAGGTAACAATTGTTTAGTGATGCAGGTCTTACTAATTAACCAATAGCTGAGGGATTCATATCAAGATTTGATACCCAAAATAAATTATAATGTGTATAAAGTAGGGGATCAATTCTATATTACAGTCAATATATAAACTGATCCCTCAGTTTTTTATAGATTGAAATTCAAAAAGTGAACAAATCTAAAAGACATGCCTTTGTAGCTAATCACTATTTCTTTGATTGATTTGTTTTCGACGGATTCTCAACCTTTTGCAGGTTATTTAAAGCCAGAAAATACTTTGAGATTCTAAGGAATTTTTTCTTTTAGATGATAATGGTTTAGTGATACAAGTTTTACTAATTAACCCATAGTTAAGGGAAGAAGAGGGGAATTCATACCTT